TTCCAGGAGAGAAATTTACATTATGGCATTTTGACTAAGTAGAATAATGGCAGTTAATTCCATAAAAGAAAATTTTAAGTTGCTTTATTTCATATACAAAAGGGTTCCAGAAAACAAAGGAAGAAAGAATGAAACCCTACAGTAAATGCTTGGGAAAATTGTGTTGATTTCTTGCATGCTGAGATTTAAGTACCTCTGTAAGGTTTTCCAGTTCTAAGGCAGTAAGCTTAGATTTCTTAGAAAGGAGCAATTTTTCCTGGGTATTTGTCTAACACAGACAACCATTAAATCTGACTTTTTTTTCTCCTAGGATGACATCACTATGGTGTCATCCATCCATTGTGTCCCTCTCATGTTGCACCGTTAATGCTCTGTAATTTTAAGGATTTAGGGAAAGGAGAACCTTTACAATTTATCCACACAGCAGCTTTCCCCCAGCAATGCCATGAACATCACTTCTAATGCAGAGAACACATCTCCAGTGAACTTGACTGGAAAACTTGAACTTGACTTATTGGGAAAAACATTAACTTCACAAAGCTGTCAAAATACTCATTATTTAAATATGCAACAGGAGGGAAAAAAAAAAAAAAAAGAAAAGGAGGGAGCAGAAAACTCTTTGGTGAGAGTGGTCAAACACAGGAATATGTTGGCCTGAGAGGCTGCAGAGCCTCCACTCTTGGAGATATTCCAAAGCAGACAATGTCATGGACAACGTGCTCCTGGACATCATCTCCAGGAGTGCCAGCCACCTTCACTTATGTTGTGATTTTGCAAGATGAAAAGACAGAAAGAAATGGGCAAATCTCACGATAACGTAACACAGCAAGTTCTAGCAAAGTCAAAAAGGTCTATTAAATGGTTTTGTGTCTGAAAAACTGGAATGCAACTTGTTGCAAATTAAAGACAGATTCTAAGCTGAAGGACAGGGCTGAAAAGTTCCTTTGCTCATCAAATTAAAAACAAGGGGTTTATTCATGAAAAAAGTTATGTGGTCAGCTCACATTCTTTGGTCAATAGTTAGATGTGACCAAGGGTCTGCACTCTGCCACTCAATGAGAAACTCTGAGGTGGTTGGGGATTGCTGGAGCATGAGAAGGCACGTTCATAAAGATGGGCAAGCAGTCAGGAGAAGTGCAAGTGTGCCTTTTTCTTGTGAAGTCCTGGTCACATGGCTGACAGCTGGAGTCACTTAACAAAATATCAGTGCAAGCTACTCTGCCAAATCCCCCTGCAGTGAGATGACAACACCTAAATGCCTCCTGCACTGCAAATTCCCAAAGGCTTCATGGCTCACAAGTCCCCTTTCTTTCTGTCCTTTCACATTTCTTCTCCACTACAGATACAAAACCACATTTTTAAATTGAGACAATTAATTTTAAATTAAGAGAGACAAAGATCGTTAWGAGAAACTTGTGCCTGATGAGAAGTATTGTAATTCTTCCTAGTTACTTTTGGATAACATGTGCACAGGACATTTATTACTTTTGCAACAATTATATTCGCCAGACCATTCAACTTTTCTCTGAAAGGTGTTTCAGCTCTAAAAAAGGTGAAACAAAAAAAAGAAAAAGAAATAACATTTTTCCCTGCTTAGTTGCAATAATCAGAGATCATTAGTGAACCTCAATCTTCAAATCTGTTTGCCAACTTGGCCCCCTCTCATTGAGTAACCCACTGTGCTTTTCAGGGAACACTGCTCCTCCAACACCAGTCCCTGGGGCTTCAAACAGCACAGTGTCACTAAATGGTACAGTCAGCATCCTTCTACTCACACAGGACAAAGAAATCAAATAAAATCAAAGTACCCCTCAGAGTGCTGAAAACATCCATCTTTGTGATTCTTGCTTKCATTTATCTTAGGCTGTGAATGTTTCTATTAGCCAAATGTATTCAAGTCTGACAAAGTCATTTCATCTCCTGTTAATGAACAACTTTTCTGTTGAGAGATTAAGGGAATAAATCAATGCCAAAACCCAGTTAATTGTTCAGTAGCAGTAGGCTGTTTGTACCTTTTGTTAGCTGTCACAGCACTGAGCCAGCACTCAACTGGTAGCAAAATCTACATTTTAGCACAGAATTAGGTCCAAATTTAAACCATTTAAGCCACAGCATGTTTTTTCCKATAATGCAAGGATTTAAAAATTATCTCAAAATCAGCCACAGCTAAGGAGAGACCATTCAGGTGTCAGTCACATAATAGATATCTCTCCATTTTCATGTACCCTGCCTAAGGCTGCACAGCTGTGAAGAGRAATAGAATAAAATTTTTCTACAGCGTGTTTAACAGCAAAACAAAGACAACTGTTCAGTGGGAAATCAAAGAACAAAATGAGCCTGATCTGATTTGCCTCTTGGAYATTTCCAAAATGCAGTTTAATTCCTGAAATGTTCTGTTATCTTTGCACTTCTCAGTGCTTTGTAAACAAAATATTTTTCAAATAGCAGAACTCACAAGCCAGCTCTCTCAGACAAACCCTTTGAACAGGTTTATGTGCTGTTGTAATAAACACATTTCAGCAACACACAAGAAGTTATTCTGGTCTGTAAAGATGTTTCTCTCTGCAATCACCTTCTTATTGYTCATGTCTTGAGCTGCATAGATAAGCACGTGCATTTGTGTAAACATACACACTTATTACCCCATAATAATTAATGCTTTAAAGAAAGATTTTGGGGTGGGGATGTTAAGAGCATGACTTTCACCACAGATTGTACTGAACTGATGTTAACGAGTGCTTAGTGGAGTGGGAGCAAAAAAGTAAGAATTAACAAACTACACACCCAGGAAATGTAGCTTGTACCCAAGGAGAAAAAGAAATATAGACATTTGCATTTAGTAGTTCAAATCTCAAAAAAAACCTGCATTCAAATTTAATTTTCAACTTCCTAAGCAAAAGGAAGTCAGGTTCTATATTTAAAAGTCAGGCCTTTCAAACTAAATACCAATTGTTCCTACTAAGCTCCCTCTTCTGGCTAATTAATAAACTCACTTAGAYTTTGTATGCAGAAGTTTCAATCTTCCCAGTTTTCTTCTATTGATAAAAATCTTCTTTTTTTTAAATATTGGTAAAGAAACTTTGATATTGAAATACACAATGGAAGTTTTCAGCTTCAGAGTCCTCCTGTCATYTTACRAGTTACACACACACATAAGGAAATAAACATCTATGCAGTGTGTAGGGAAACTGCAAACTGAGCCTCACTGACACTCAACCATCTGCACCTCCTCTAAGCTTCTAAACACACCACTGCTATATTCGGGAATCAGATATTCTTCAAATGTCGGTGTTCAAAACATATCAGACTAGTTAATTTGTTCCCCCAAGTACAGCTTTCCTTTTCCTAGCTAAAATCAGGATTAAATATGTAATAAAAATACAAATACACCTTTTAGAAATTGTAAATGTTGMAAATGAGGAAAAACAGAGTCAGAATCACAGAATAAACTAGACTGGTCTGGTAATATTTTTCATTCTCTTCTAAAATCTAAGTAATTCCCACCAATGAGGCCCAAATTGTTCTGTAGAAGTGACTCCTGACTTTTTGTAAAATAAGAACAAACAAAGAAACAGGGTTTGCTTAAGGTCAGGTGGACACTTAATAGCAGAACTAGAATTGAAACACAGTTACTTCATGTTTTTAAGCTCACTGATACAACCTACCTGAGAAAAAAAAAAAAAGTTCATTTTTTTATTGCTCAGAATGTTTTGTTTGGGTTTTTTTTTTAATATTTTACCTTAGTACTGCATCAATACATAGTCTTTTTTTTTTTTCCTGTATTTAACTGACTGTTAGTAATGCCTTCATTTGATAACAGATAGAACCAGGACACAAAATTGAACACAGGCACACTGACTTTTACACTCCTTAGCTCCCTGCAGTCAACCAACCTGGACAGCTAGAGTTTAACGACAGTAATGAMATTTTCTACTTATAAACAGAGTCCTTCATTCAAAATATTTTATGACATYCAGTAATACAAACCACTTAACGACCAAAGAAAAGCCTCCACCCAACAACAACACAATTTAGAAGTTTATATATCATCTTCCTGACAAAGCAGGAGTTTCTTCTGATGTGGACTAATACAAGTCTCCAGGAAGCATATGAAAAACCCATTCTAGAGGCTGATAAATAACTGCAAATCAAAATACAAGACTCAGAGTGATCTGCTTTGAAATAAAAGAAAACTTAACTTCAGTAGTTTGGAGACCAGCTGGTGAAGAGCATCATGCTTGCTACCYGCTCTGATTCCTCAGGAGAGGAACCTGGCTGATGAGTCTGCTCTTAAACTGCACCTTTAGCTAAAGTGGCAAATGAGGATGTGTGAGGGATTAMCAAGAGAAATTTAATCTGAAGTAGATTCTGTTAAAATCAATTAGCATGGCTGGCCCCAGACTAGCCAAGGACAGGCAGCTACTGGAGCAATCAATGGCAGCTGGTGGGAAGAAAGCCCAGAAGGAAGAGGCAACCAACATCATTTACTCTTCACAAATGTTTCCTTAGATTGTCAGCTCTTACTGAGAATGCCAAGATACATGCTTCCTCAAATGTTTATCCAAAATACACTACACACAAACASTCTTTGAACACTCTTTTGAAAGGCCTTATCGCTCTAACATACTAATAAGAATCTCTGTGCTACCTCTCAAAGTTTTGGAACCACATGTTCCTGGATGCTGRTGAATGCTGACTACATTAAACATTGAAACAGATGTCTGGTCTTCACAACCCAGAAACCATGCTGTGTTGAAACAGTAAAATAGTAGCACATTCCCATTGGGGAACAGTATTCTTACACAGAAAACTGTTTAATACCCAACAGGTAATTCAAGTCAAACAACTTTTAAACAGAAAATATATTAWTATCTAGAGCTTTTAGCAAAACCAGACTTTAGCACAGAAATACATGCACTTATTTACACTGGGTGTTACATATATGAAGAATTATCCTACAGGAGTTGCTCCTTTTTCAGAAAACAAGTACACTCCCTTACCTTTGGCCACTTGGGATTCAGAAGCCGTGCTTTGATGGCATCATCCAAAGCCTTGTCATACTGGTGGATTTTCATGTAGGCTGCAGAACGGTTGCTGTAGAGAATGCAGTTCTGAGGGTCCACCCCCAAGGCCTCGTTGTACAGCACRATTGCAGTGTGGAAATCACCATCATGGCAAGCCTGGTTGCTCTGGCGAACCTTCTCAACAAATTCAGCTTTGCTCAACATGGGACTGTCAGGACTTTTTCTTCGGAAAGATTTTGATCCGCAGAAAGAAGCCTGGGAGGGAAAAAGGAAGAAATTATATGTTAGAGTTAAGAAGTGCTACTTAAAAAAGGAAAAAAAATATCAAACTACTAGAAATCACTAGTATTAGCATCACTGCAGATCAAATTATGAATTCAGAATCAGATTCTTAAAAAAAGTAAATTGTTTATCTATTGAATCTCTTTCTGAGGGTACAGAAGTAACAGGAAGAGTCTTGCAAAACATACTCCCTATGAATGATGTCTTCTAAACACAAGAGCAGTTGCAGTTTGTTTCCATATGCTGCACTCCCCACATTCAGCCATGCTTTTTGATTCTACAAAAAAARCACAAAGCAGAGCTGCCAGGTAAAGAACAGGTGGCAGCTGTGAATGTGAAGATGATGCTGGTACATCTGAAGTTTGACATGCTGATCACACAGAAGCACATGCATACACAGACAATGGAAAAATGGGTAAAATCTCTTCAAATGAAAGATCCTGCACCACAACCTCTGCTCACAAACCTCTAGACCCAGCTACATGCAGCTGCACATTGTTCATCATTTGGAAGGGAAGGATAAGTCTTCAGAGGTGCTACACTCACAGAAATAAGTGGGACATAAAATTTACTTTAACAACAGAACAGTCATCCTTGGCAGAGCCATCCTCCCAGAYTGGCAACTTCTGGTAATACAAAACAACACAGAAAAAATATTTCAGCCTTCTAATTATAAAACTTTATTTAAACTGAGCTGTAGAAAGTCCTAGTTCCATTGATCGCGGTACACCCTTTCTTCTTATTTAACTTTCTTATATTGCACATTTTCCTCAACCAGTTCTTTGCAGTCAGTAACTGTTTCTGTCATGCAAACCCTACCCTCTCCCGAGGATACTCAAGAACTCAGCAAGAACATCTTAGTCCAGCTCTGATCACAAGGCAGTTGGGAATTTGCAGTAATAGTATTTGGCAACAGGCAACACAATACATATGGCGACATACAAAGTACTTGAAAATATTCATTAAAGGCTTAGACTGCTATAATTAAGATTGGTGTCATCTCGTTTTAGTCCTGCAGACTGAAAAAGTTTAAGAATATCACATATTGTTACCACAACACAACAACCACACGGCTTAAATACATTACCAGAGGCAGCTGGGGCATATTTTTAAAGGTGGAAAGGGAAGCAAGCTGCAAACTGACATCCTGTCACAAGGATCAATTGGTCTATAGAGTTTTCTTTTTTTTTCCTTAAGTCAAACAACAACAATACAAAAGCATCAAGTTAGAAACCACTGAATTTTTATTTTTCTTATTGTATCCATTATTTTCTGACAGTGTTTGTGAGTTTGCTGTTTGTCCAAACTTTTTCTAAACTTATCTGTTGAAGGAGATTCCATGCTTTACTCAGGCAATCTCCTCACACTGCTTCAGGACTGTCACCATTAAAATATTTTTCTTAATGCCCAAATCTCCTTTGGGGATCAGTAAATGTACTGTTTTTTGTCCTGTAGTAGACTGAACCAAAAACTTTTTCCTTTCATTTGTGCAGTTGCTTTGTCTGTAGTATTCTTGTTCATGCTGGAGCTGAACACGTTGCTTTGTTCAAGCAGYGCAATAACTCACACATCTGCGAGCATTTGACAATAAACTTCATCACATGGACAGTTTGTTTTGTGACCTGAGGGCAAGAACTGAATATGAATATTCAGCAGCTATTACACGGGCACGTGTTCAAACACAAAGATGAGGAAACTCTGAGAAAGGTAATTAGGCACCAGAAAGCTTGGTGGTGCTGTGAGAAATGGGGCTGGGGAGTACCCCAGTGCAGGGAACAGCAGTTTCTTCTCTGTCTTTCAAGGTGGCTGCTGTCTCCCTCTCAGTGTATTTCCTGGTCACTGACCTGCATCGGGRACAATGAAAAATACCAAATGTTGTGTAGTTCCCACGCTTTTATCACATTCAGAGTGAACAACTGCAGTACCACAGCAGTGATTTCTGAGTGAATGACAGCAGTTCCACAAGCAGCACCACAACTAGCCATGACCTTCAGTTATTCAGAAGATAAATATTTCAAGAAATAGATTCCCCACCAGCTGTGGCCATAAGTGCCTGCAGCAGGAGGTCAGCCCCACCCTGGAGAGCTCAGTGCCTGACCACAGTGCTGCTCAGCCCACTGGAGCTGCTTGCCCAGGACCACCAGGAGCCACTGGACCCTACTGGGGCCTCTGAGAGGGCACAACACACCCAGCACAACCTCGAGCAGCACCAGGGAGGCAAGGCCAACAACAGCTGTCTTTTCTGGCAGTTTATTACTTACAAACAAATGAACACACAAAGCTGTTAATGATCCTTCCAGAATCATACTGTGAGKCTGTAACAACAAGGAGAATCCATGAGGAGACATCCTCTCAGTCCAAGTGAAGTGGTTTCTGCCTCTAATACCCTGTGATGCTAAATAATCTCATGAAAAAAAAGGAAACGATGATGGTAATTTGTGGAATATGTTACTRTTTAATTCCTGCCATCATGAGAACTACGTAAGGCAGTAAAACATCATAAGGTAAAAGAAAAAACCCTGGAACAGTAAAACTGAGTCACTCTGGCACTCAAACCATAAATAAAAAAAGAATATGATTATGGTACCAACACACCAAAAGTACTCATTAGAAAGCCATCCCACTTCCCAGTCACCACTGCTCTTCTCCTTCTAATGCAGTGGAACATGTTCATTGTCATTACATATTTGGGCTGTGCAACATTTTGTTATAGAAGGTGCTTGCATGTAYTAAAYCAATGMTGAAGAAGAAGTTTTTTTGTGCAAYAGAACAAAAAAATGAAAGAAATTAAAAAAGAAATGAAAGTCCACCAAAACTGAAGATTTAGTCCACCATAGGATGATATGAATTTACCAACAGGAAGGAAACAGATTTTTTTTTTTCTTAGAGCTTACACATAATTTTCTATAGGAAATGCTTTTTCTAAAKATTTTTTTTCAAACTAAGAAGCAAWTGTGAGCTTCCAATACTGAGCTGGGAACAATCTGCAATTGTGACAGCAGTTAGATCCAACCTAATTTAAGCTATGCTACACGTTGCTAAAAATTGTAATAACAACTATGCAATCCATAGTTAAATTTCAACAGTACTTTTTAGTTCACACACCATTTTAAAAATTAGATAATGATAGTAATAATTATATGTATTATATAATATATAAAATTTATATAATATATTTAATTTATGTATTTTTTATATATATAAAGAAACAGACCTTTCCCTCCAATCTCTCTGGGAGTCACAGCGAGACAGAGACAGCAATGAGAGAGTGATGAACCAGTAAATTCAGTAAAAGCCATGCATGAGCAGTAACCCCACTTGAGCAACACCTGTTAAGGCAACATTCAAGGCACATCCACTCATCCATTTAGGAATTTATCCATCTGCCACATATCCATTTCAAAGAGCCTGTAAARGATTCCATCAGCACCTGAAGAGCTCTTATTCCACACCAGAAGAAAGCACAGGAGAGATGATATTATCTAAGGTTGTGAAAACCGCCAAGAAAAATGAAAGACACTAAAACATGAGCAGCTGCAAGAAAAGGGAAAGGACAAGAAGGCACAGGTACCCAATTCTCTGGATTTCGACTTTCTATTCATTGTTGAGAACCAGGGGCATCCCTATGGCTGCAACAGCAAAGTAGGAGCGCAGGCTGCTGCCCGGGATAGCAGCGCTCATCACTGATCTGTGTTCAGTGAAAGGGCAGAGCGACATTTGTGACATCTGCTGTCAGCCAGGGCACACGGACTGAATCCATTCTCCAAGTTCTAAGTTCTGTCAGTAACAAAACTCTTAGAATCAAGTTCATGACAACTTTCTGTACCGCTGTGGCAGGGTAAGGAGCTCTGCAGTGCTGCCGAGTACACCTGACACTCTTACCTTCCAACTTTTCCGACTTTGGCGAGACTTTAGCGGGTTTGTTTACGGGGGCGCCAGAGCGAGCACAATGCCCATGCCGACATCCGAGCTCTCTGCTCGCGAGGGTCTCTCTCCAGCTAGCGGCGGCCGAGCTCGTTCGGGGCACACAACAAACACCCGCTCCGGGACAGGCCCGGGCCCTCCGCCGCCCCGCACCGCGCCGATCCGTGCGGGACCCCGGCCGAGACTCCGCCGGGCCCGGGGCTCCGGGAAGCGGGGTCGCTCGCCGCACCCCCAGGTGCCAGGGAGAAGAGAGACCAGCGCTCGGCCTGGCGTTGCCGGAGCCCCGCAGCGAGCTGTCCCACCGCCGCCCGGCCCCTCAGAGCGCCCCGGGCCACCGGGCCTGCGCCCCCACCGAACTCCCGCTCCGTCCGCGCCCCGCAGCTTCCCTCCGCCGCCCGTGTCCGGCCCGGCCCGCCGGCTCCTTCCCGCCTCCCCGACCGCTCCAGCGCTGCCCGTCCGGAGTCARCTCACCCGAGGAGGCTCCGCGTCCTGCTCCCGCCGAGCCCGGCCCACCGCCACGGCCCCCGGCGGGGTTGGCGGCGGCGCCTGTTGCTCCATCGCGCTCCTCCTCCTCCTCCTTCTCTTTCGGGGGCCGGGGCCGCCGCCGCCCCCGCCAGGCCGATCCCGCTCCGGCCCCCGGCGCCACGTTCCGGGCCCGGCTGAGAGGGACCCGCAGTGCCCCGGCCCCGCCCCGGGCTGGGCTCCGCCCGGACCCCGGGTACCCCCGCCCGACGGCGCCGGACGTCCTGCRGCTGCTGCCGGGGCTCCCCCGCTCCTCGGCCGCCCCTCTGCCGAGCTCCGGCAAGAGCAGCGCTCTGCTCCGCCGCCGCTCCGCGAAYACGGACGAGCTCCGTCCTCACGGAGGATCCAGCTCCAGCGTCGCTCTGTCGCCACACGGGCCGGGGACCGTCGCCCCAAGGCAGCGGCAGCCTGAGCCCGAAAGTATCGGGACCCACATCGGACCGCAGGTGGTGATGCTGGYCACTAAGGACACCGCTCTGGCCAGGCACAGCGAGCCTCAGCACTTTGGTTAACCAAAGTTTTCCAACTGCTCTGACCCATCCTGCCCCTTGCAGCCAACAGGCAAAATGGATTATTCTGGAGACTCTTGTGCTGCAAACAGTACGTGATAAAAAAATAATTTTTTGTCTAAGTGAAAATTGGATGCCACTTCACCTTAGTGAAACTTACTCTTCAGACTCTTAAAAATGAGTCTGAAACTTCAGAAAGCTTTCTGCAATCAAATGATGAACATATGGCCAGTAGCCCAAAGGTTTGCCATCAAATGATCAAATGTAGGACATCAGTGGAAAGCAGGGAAAGGACCCAAGCAAAGCACTTACTGATTATCTAACAAAAAAAGATGGAGGAACAAATCAAAGAACTTTTCTACTTCTATCTAAACACCAATTGCAGTTAACTTACAGTGTAAGTAGGAGCTAGGGAATTACCTTCTCATCAGCAATTATGCAAGTCTTTTAAAAGTAAGTGGCAACCAGAGCCCAAACATATCAGCTTTTGCAGTAGCCCAGGACACAAATCTGACCCAAACAAACCAGATTCTTTGATTCTTTTACCGAGCAGCTGAGTGTTCCTTACAACTTCAAATGAGCTACAATAACCACCACAACTCCCTGAGGATGTGCCAGTCACAGATTTGCACCAAAAGGGGCACATCCTCAAGGASAGACACACTAAACTGTTCTTTCAGTCAATAATGAAATTAATATCCTTTAATAAGAGACACACAGTTCAAAATTTTCACCTAACAGGCAAGCAAGTTTTTCTCTCTCAGTTCAATTCCTAGTTCTTTCCTGGCAGGAATTTATACATCTTCATTTCATCACTTGTTATCATGTTTCCTCTTACTCATCCCCCTCTGGGAAATAAACACAGTACACTGGTGTTAGAAACCCATGCAGATGGTAACTCTTGCTTTGGAAGCCAATCAGCCCCTTCCCAGAGCACAGTGCTGTGCAGCTCCTCATGCATGCACAGCAATCACCTCAGTCTTACAAATTTATTTTTATTGGAAATTGCACCTTCAACAGTTATTCCATTATTAAGATCTGTCTTTATAAAAAATCCTGCTTTCCATAAAAAAAGCTGTCATTAGCAAAGTCATTTTCTCTTCCTTTTCACCTCATTTTCTGAAAYGAAGTAGAAGGAACAGCACGCTTAGAAGAGCCATATTCTTCCTCATTTTCATGGTGACGCTTTCTTGTTGCAGTTCGCTGAAAGAAAGATACAGCAGGATGGGTACAGGAAACCAGGTAAGACAGARCCTGACTGTTCTGCTTGCTCCAGAACTACAGGTGTTGGACAGTGTGACCAAAAAAGCAGCATGACTAACCCATGTTGCTCTACCAAGATCCATCTAATTATATTTGATGGTTCTAATGTAAGACATTGCTCCCAGCTTGAAACAGCTACTGTTTGCTCTTTTCCTAATTAGCCTCTGGTGATAAATGGCAGAATGCCATCCTAACCTTTCACTAGCACAAGAATCTCTACTTCAATACTAAACATTAGTGACTTGAATCCATGGAAAAAAATCATACGTTCAACAATTTATTCTAAATATATGAAGAATCCTTTAAATCCTAGGAGGCTGTTTCTATACATTTAAACAAGGTGTTGACAAAGCAAGRAAGTCCATTGCTGCTTTTCAGGAAGCAAAAATAACCAGCAGACTGCCACATACAGCTCAAGGGTACACTTCTCTACAGTCTCAAAATTAACTGCTTTTCWTATTACTGATTACTTCAAAATCTAGTTTCCCTGGGCATTGAATATTAATCTTTAAATATCTACAGCACATACCATTTTGGATGTTTCTGGTGGATTCATACTGGCATATGTCTGAGCAAGTAGCTGTTGAAAWGTAGTCTTCATATCCTCATCCTGCAAAAAAACCCAGCAGCTAAAGGGAAAAGCAAAGATTGGGAAATTCAAAGAGAAGTGAATGGGACATTCACTAGAAATAAAGGTCATTGGGCTCCTAAGGATTTCAGCTGTTATAACTGAGTTTTTTGGGTGAAGGCAGTGGAGGGGGTCCTTTTCCTATGCAATGGAGTATTTTACAAATAAAACTACAGTAAGTAAAAGCCATGAATGCCAGGAAATGTTTCCTGATGCCCAAAAGCATAATTAAGACAAGTTAATCACTTAAAAAGTCATCCACACTTGTTTTTTGTCTCAGAACACTGTCAGCTGTTGAGCACTGAGGGATAATCCCTTGCTTACTTCTTCACCAAAGCATCTGAAATTATCCTGTTCCCAAGGAGGGAACAGGAATATCATTGTGCATGGCTTGGAGGCAGGCTGGGTGACTTTTTAATTAAGAAATTAAGAAAAGACCACCTAAAAACCATCCCTTTCAGACCTAACTAGACTGTAACAGGAGGCTGGGAAACCATCACTTCCTACTCAGAGGATTCCCAAACCAGAGACACTTACTTCCACTCAGCACAGTAAAAACATAGTAGTATTGGGTGCTTGCCAGAAGCAAAATCTGCACTGCCTGCCCATACAAATATCTGAGGAAGTGGGACTCTGTTGCAATGCTCAAAGGAAGAGGTCCATCCTACCAGAACCACAGTCAGACTTGGTCTCTGAAAAACACATCTTGATCCTCACATGTGAAAGAGTTCTGGGAGGAGGTATCTCAGGATGCAGAAGCTGCTAATTGTATTGAAAGAAGGTGTTCAGTAGACTGCTCCATRCTACTTTTGCAGTCTCTCCACAGGGACTAAATCTTTGAAAGCACAACACATCAACAAGTTATCCACAAACAACCCAACTTTCAGWAAACACTCAATTCCTACCTGAAGCCAAGGATGCTCCAAGGCTTCCTCTGTGGTAAAACGTTTGCTTGGGTCCACTACTAACAGCTTCTTCACAAGATCCAGAGCTAAGATAATAAAATGAGCTGGTTGGCATATGATCAATATATCAATTACCTGAAATATGCTTACACCAAAGCTATGTGTGACAATTTGCCCCTCCAGAACAATGCACAAAAATRCAGTCTGGGAACATCACTTTTCCTTTTTCTATGCATATGGCGGGCTGCAGACTGAAACCATCTTTTCTTCACATTCACACAACTCAACACTTTTCAATACACTATAAATACCCATAGATATATTTAGCATGTACACAGTTTACATTCTGAGCATTCACAGGAGGCTCAGCACTATCCTAAAAGCTTCAGTACTACTGTGGAAAAGCAAAGACAGCTTAATTTATCCTGGTTTACAGTGTCTTGGAAAGCAGATTATCCATCTGGGAAGGTGGGAAAGAAGAGACAGGACATACACATGCCTGCTCAACATAATCTCAACTTTCATCTTCTTAGGAAGCTGCTTAGTAGACACTGAGAAAATATGGCATTTATGTTGTATTTTATTACTCCAAATCTCTCATACAGATATTTTGGCAATATTTACTTTTCATTTGATCAGATTATTCTGAATACATACCAGTAGGACTATGGAAATTATGTTAGGATTGTACATTCTCAAGAATGTCTGACTTATTTTGAAWAAGCTTCAAACTATTCAGTAAGCAGTTATATTAGGTGAGTTTATTAGATAAAAAATGACCACATCATTTATTAGAAACTCCTCTGCACATAGAAAGGAGCATCCAAGGCAAATACTGCAAATATTTTTGCACATAAAATGTCCTGAAAAACTATAAAAGCACACGGACAGGAATTATCATTTTAGTTTGCTATGCAAAAAATCCATTTTGCACACTACTTCACTTACAGTGGGCCAAACATAATAGATGATTCCACAAATGTGACTGACACTTTCAGCTCAAAGACTAGCACCATGAAAGGACTCCCTTGGAACGTTTGTTTTTTGGAATTCTAACTTGCATTCCTTAAATTCCTGGTATTTTTGGTTCAACACTTGAAGAATCTTTGGGCAAAGTCTGTAGATCAGCTTGATAAAGTCAGAAGAAAAAGTGAAAAGAGGAAGAATAGATGTATATGCCCACAAACTCTACACTTGTGTGGCTAATTATGCTAAATACTACTAAGAAATCTCTTCAATAAATATATATCTGCTTTTTCCAATGCTTTAAGTGAACTAAAAAAAATTTAATATATTAGTTTAAAAACTAAACATATGAACACACAATGTGCCATGCAGCTGAAAAGAAGATAAAGAAAAACAAAAACTACAAGAAATGAGGCAGATATTTTGCTACCCACTGTGCTGGAATCATACCCATGTCTGACACATGCTTCCATTCTTTTGCGATGAACGTGTATTCTCCTCGAGTGATTTGATCTCTCAGAGAGAGTTGAGTATTTTGCTCATTGAATGGTGGGTATCCACACAAGCTGCATAAAAGAAAACAAATTAAATTACACAGATTTTGCCATAGCAAATGAAACACTGAAATCACACATTTTAAAGCATATGCTATCGTAGCATTTTTATATGTGTAGAGTTTTAAATGCACTTTCACTTCCTCACACAGATACTGAAGTTGTCAAGTCTCAAGCCACGTATGTCAAAGACTGCCCAGTGAAGGTACATCTACACAATATCTTACCATACAAAAAGAATAACTCCTAAACTCCAGCAGTCCACAGCTCGGCTGTATCCAGCAGTCCCAAGTGAATTTAGAACCTCAGGAGCAAGATACATGGGAGTACCACATAATGTTTTCATAAGAGAAGCTTCTCCAAGAATCTTGGATTGTCCAAAATCTGTAATCTTGTATTTGAAAATGGTAACACCACATTACACATTAGGATGGACTGTACTAGAACACATCATATTGTAGACATATATCAGGAGGTAGCATTAAGATTCTTCCTTCCAAGCCAGTTCCAGTACACGACTATGAACAAAGTCAGACCAAACATTATTAAGAATGGGAGAGGAAGAAGAGAGATAAATATGACAAAGGATCACACTTTACACTACCAAAAAGTACTCTCAGATTTGGATGTAAATTGACAACCACAGAATAAAGGTATTGTAGCCTATTAGAAGAGTTTACTTGAAAAATAAGCATTTTAGCATGCAAATCTAAGCAATGCTTTCTCTGGGGAGAAAAAAACCAACACAAAAGAGAATTCACAACTCTAATTCTCCCCTCAAAAAACCAAAACAACAACAACAACAAAAATCCCTGTCRGCATGGACTTTTGTGGGAATGCTGTCTGTATCAAGAATTTAGATTTTATTGGGGAAAAAAAAAGCATTGACATTTGAGGTTACATATGCAGAGTATGGGCTGAAATATACACAAAAGTGAAATCACAGTTATAAAAAAACTCCTCTAGGTTTTAAGTTACTTCATGGTTTGTATGACTAATTCTACATGACCTTTCTGGCTACATTTAATGAAATGTCAAGAAGAAAGTGAAGGAACACTCCCAAATCTTTCCATTAAAAAGAAATATCAGTTTCCTTACCTTTATAATACATGTCTCTTCAGTAGATGAAAGCAGCACATTTTCTGGCTTTARATCTCTGTGTATAATTCCATTGTCATGAAGATACTACATACATACGGATGGATAATTAAGGAAAAACARATTATTAACTTGTTTTAAAATGTGAGCTTTCCATTTTTACTCATGGCAATGGCAGGATAATTCAAATGGCTGTGTAAGAGGCAGGCACGCATTTAAAGCTCCCTAACTTATGACTCTCCCTTAAAAAACAAAGCAAAACAAAACCAAAAGAAGCCAACAAAAAAAACCCACACCAAAACACCACCACAAACAAAGAAACAAAAAACCACCTTAGAAATCATTATGCTTGAAATGTCAAATGTCAGTGCAAGCACAGTGTGCAGGCCCAAGCTGTGTGTCACCTTTGGAAGAATTCTGGTTTTCAGCATCTCTCTTCTCAAACCAACTTGWTAAGAACACTGTGCTGATTGCTTGRATGGGTTKCAGCAATGACAAGTGACAAAAAACCTCAACTTACAGACTTTATTTTTGGTAGAATTATGTACCTTTACTGCYAGCAGCATCTGATAAAAGTACAATTTGCAGGTATCTTCTTTCATCTTGATTGGCCTTGACACTCTGTCATACAATTCTCCTCCTTCCATCCTAAAACAAATGCAGGTTAACAAGCCAAKATATGACTTCCAAAAGATTAATCTCATTAGATAAAACTAAGACCAAAACATGTGGCTATTCTGCCTACAGAAAAAGAATATATTTCTGAAAATGAGTGATCAACATTCTGAACACAGCACATGCACAGCTGAGTTAGGGTCAATCTCCTGAGTCTTCACTGGGAGTTTTTAMATGATTTCTGATTATCACCTCTTACAAGCTCAAAAAATATTTTWAAAAGTATCAGTAATCCACAACAGCAGCAGAATGAACAATATCCAGGCACCAAGTGCCTGCAAAGCATGGAAGGATGATTTCTCCTGGCTAGTGTAGCTCCGAATCTTACAAAGATTTCAGAAAACAGCAGAGGCCAGCAAAAGAAAAACAAAATAAACCAAGTAAAACCTCCACAGTTCAGAACTACATACATTCATTGTGGCTATGAAAAATATTTCCCTTTATGCAGTTATTTTGAAACAAATTACTTACAGTTCCAAAACAATGTAGTAATCCTCTGCTTCAAAGAAATTTTTTATCTTGATTAAGCAWGGCTAATAGAAAAGGAAACACAAATGGAGACACACAAAAAAGTAGAATAATTTGTAAAAATTAATCTTAACGTTCTTATTTCAGTATTTCAAAACATTTCACTTAAACTAACCCTTAAAACAAGTCACTAGCAAGCACCCCATAGCCTCAACATTGCATTTATTTTACATGCAGAAGAAAAAGAAGATACAAATTCAAGAAACTGACAGTGAAAACCAGTCTTTATATTTAGTTATTTCACAGCATTTACAAAAACTCGCATCAAGGAAAAGTTTCTGCAACAATGGCTTGTGCTAAAACTTCTCCTGTRATGTTTCTTCTCAAATGTACATCTCATTAATCCAGAGTTCTAAAATCTCCAATCTGCTAGGATATAATATGCTTAAAAGAAAAGAAAATGACCCATTCAATAATTCACAAGAAAAATTATATGCCTCCTTTAACACATTTCTAGATGGATAGAATTGCTCTTTAGTTACTACACTAAGGTCAGTGTACTAAACTAAACAAGTACATACAGTAGGGAGCAAAAAATAATAAAAATGTACAGTAACACTCACGTGATCTATTTTCTTCAAAATTTCAATTTCTGTATTGATACTAAAACCTGGGTTCTATTAAAAGAATCAAATACTGGGTAAGACAGTGCTGTTCTGGAATAAGACATATGAGAAATAAGAGACAGTACCAGAAAAACATCATTTCATGCCTTTTACTACTGTAAATGATCATAACAYGCATTTTTTTCCATAAAATGATCAGGTGCCTTCAGTGAATTAAACAAACAGTGTGCTGTCACTATCTGGAGCAAGATATTGCTCCAGACATTTAATTTCACGGCAGGTTAGGAATCCCCAACTAATTTCCAAATTGAAAAAAAAGTATTTTTGCCTATATACCTGTATTATCTTTTAAACAGCTTTTCTCCCTCCAAGATGCTTTGCAGATGGGCCAGCCTAAAATTACATGCTACTTTCTCCTGTTTTGCAAGATACCATAAACAGATTCTTTTAATCTGTGGTTTAGGCTCAACTAATGAAATCAACCCAGCAGGGTGKTTTTTTTGCTCTTCTTCCAATCCAAATGAATCGTCTTTGAACACACAACCCATCCACAACATTCCAGATAGACTCCTGTCTCTGTTTTGTACAATGGCATATATTAGTAATTATAATTCATAACAGCATCTTAAGCCAGTTGACTTTGATCTTCTCCAAATTCTGGCTTCYGCTGTTAAACACATGGAAAGCCCTTCCCAAAAGGCTTCACACTATTTTCTTATAAAGAAGCATGATGGAGCATTCAAGAAAACTAGCTTAGTTGGTACATTTTTGGTGAAGACTCTGCTGGTTATGATGTTTCTATCTGATACATTTTAGGACATAAACCAAACCCTACTCCACACCACTCTTGTACACAATCCCATTAACAGGCCTAAAAGATGAACCTAATAGAATGTGGTCAAAGARTGAAGGCAAGCATTTCCTACAGAATTCTGTATATCATATAAGGTCAAAAAGGCATTTTGAAACTAAATACAGAAGACATTAAGTAAGAAAATCCTCTTTAGTTGAAGATAACTGAGGAGTCAGAGAAATTACCATATATTCCAGGACCACTACAAGATGGCCAAGGCAGACAAACAAAAATACTTACTTCCTCTCTCAAGCCACTTGCCAYAAACTTCCGTTTATTGATGATTTTCACTGCAACTTTGTTACAAGTGCTCTTCTCAAATGCCAGTTTGACTTCTCCACAGGCACCACTAAAACRAGAGCACAGCTACGTCACTGCTTACTTGTCAAAAATCTGTGTAAGCAGKGCAGGCAAATGAAAGCACAATTTGGAGCTGCTGCTTTCTAACTTWCTGAAAATGGCACGTTGCCTCTTCTGAGGAATATTCAACAGTTAGAAARTCTACACTACTTCCCAGGAAACATTCAAGAGTTAGAAAGTCTATTTAAACAGCAAATGTTGTCAAGGGCCATTCAGTCAAAACTGCAGGAGTAAATATACAGAGCAACTACTCTATTTGTACCAAAAGTACTGGCAGATATAAAGGGCAAGCTCTGTCAGCATTTCCTTCATGCAAAGGCATTTAAGAAAACTTAGAAAGGATTCTCTTAACACTGGACTGCACAAATCTGAAGAACAGAAATTACAATACTTGTATTTTTCCTAAATAGCAATTATATTACAGAAAGATATTGTTGTATTTTCCACTCAGATTTGTTTCTACCTAATTATTCACCTCCAAATTCTTCACTGACCAACTGTTTTCAAAAGAGAAAAAAATAGCCTCCATTTAAAATAGCCTCTCTCTCCTTTTTTCTGGAGAGTCTTTTCCCTTTCTGTCTGAAGGTCTCAATAGTGATACTGTAGGAAGCTTTATTCTGACATAAAACTCTTCCTTCTATTTCCAATAACTGAATAAATTAATATACAAACTTTAAAAACTCATTAAGAATTTACAGACTTCATTCTCTTCTACAGAAAAAACCCAACCAAAACAAAACAAAAATTGGTTTTCACACCTGGTGGTAGGTTACTAACCATAAACCAATTAGAGAGATAAAGCGAAAATTCCTGTTTAAATTGTTGTAAAGAACGTGTTTACTCACATGTTCTCATTCCTTTTTTTTTCTTTCATTTTTCTCTTAAACCAGCAGCTCAGTTAATACTGGGAATAATTCCAGCACAAAGTACTGACAATGAGAGCAAAGTTAACTCTTACTACTGAGGGAAGAAGGATGCTTACCTTCCCAAAGTCTTTGACATGATATATTTCTCTCTGAATTCTTTAGGAAACATCATCTGATCATCCACCGTAAGATCAGAAAATACAAACACTGGGAAGACAAATGGAGATAATTTTTCTATTATTAAGTTCAAATTTTTTATTATAACAAACAGCTATGTTTTGTGAGTTTTTACAGTCAACAACATAACTGAGAAAATACTGCCGGCTAGAGGAAAAACTAAATATATGCTATAAATTACACCAGCCATGGGTTAGCAAGGTGATCTCATTGCTGAAAAATTACATTTTAGTATTAAATTCAAAACAGTCTAATTAACTACATTTAAGGACAAAAATGAGCAAAAGTTTCGATGTCCCAGCAGAGATCAAAGAGAAGTAATAATCAAGAAAACAGCACCTCAGTGGGAAAACAGAGACAAAGAAACAAAAGCCCAGCACTGCTAATTTTTAAGAGAATTTTCTATTTATAATGCAGCATCTGGTTAGGTATCTGGGAGGGTTTTTTCAACTTTTCTTGAATAGTCTGCTTCCCCTGTTCCCATGATCGTATGCACAGCTATTGAAGCTCAAAAGTGTTTTAAAAACAGAYATAGAAGTTTATACTTTAGCAAGCTGCGATCTGATGCAGATTTTAAAAATTTTCTTTTTCAGTTTTTTTCCAAGAGTTGACAGGGACATTGACAATTTTTATGTGAGTACTTAAACACCTATTAACGAGCTGTGCTCATGAAGCAGCTCAGCACCCAAGAAATATTTTCAAATCCATGCAGAAACAACCTCTTGGTCAATACATGAAAAATCTACTTAAGTTAAAGCATATTTTACCCTTATTTGTCTGTACAGACAGTGCAATTTCAGAGTTGTGAGTCAATGGAAGCCTTCTCCCCTTTCCAATGAGCGCTCTATTAACAAATGTCCCATTTGCACTATGGTCTTCAATGTAGGCAACCAAGGAACTCTTTGGACCCATTTCCTGAAAGAGAAAAGAAAATGGGAAAGGCGACAGTAAAGAACAAATTACTTTACAGTAAAGATGTGATAGACTAGAAATTTACTATTGTTGACTCAAGAAATGAGATTATGAGGTTTTTTCATAAACCAGGTGAATGGGGCATTGCCAAGAGCCTTGTTAAAGGAGTCAACATTGAAGATACTTTGATTTCTTTAGGATCTCTGCCCCAAAATCTCTATTTTAATTATGCCAAAATAGAGAGCTAACGTTTTTAGCACTTACCCTGAAAATTCGGAAGTGCTTTTTGCTGTAGTTTTGATAGAAGCCAGTCTCTGATAATCCTAGCTTAGAAAAACTGTAATCACAGCTTTTGTCTCTCCCAAACCAGTATTCCTCGTTCACACAGTCTGCAGAGAAGGGGAAGGTATGGCAGAGAGAGAACACAACGTTGTAGGAAGTTGATAACTACAGAATGATTCCAAATGGTAATAAATAGGATAAGAAAAAAGATTCTTCCCATAGAATCAAGTTTGTCYTAACTTTGTAAGCATCACACCTTGTCAAATACTTTAATAATTTTACCCTCCGTATTTGTGGTAGCTTTTAGCTCACCTTCAGCAATACAGAGATATATAACTAAATTAAACAAATTATAAAATGTAAAAAAAATGAAGTATGGAAGCAAAGAAAATAAACACCCCAGAATTTCTCTAAGTTTATGGAAGCTGTGTATCTGAGTATTCAGTGTAAACAGTGGGATGTACTATGGAATAAAACATTATTGCCAAAGTTGCCTACCTAAATTTGCTTGTACTTTATTTGAAAATTAAAAGACACTGATCTCCATTAAGCTGCTCAGAACGTTTCTGAGATCCTATAAACAAACAAAGATGTTTATTACAGCATGCACATACCACAATTGAYGAAACCTTTTCCAAGGGCAAAGAGTCGACCCCAAGGCTGAGGAACCTGCTCTTCAGATTCCTGGTCCTCAGGGATGGCCGTAAGCTCCTGAGTGGGAACAGTATCCAGAGAACTGAGAGTCCCAGAACTTGAGGAAGACTGACTCTGACTCTGTGACCCACTGGAAGAGGAACTGGTACCACTCTGTGACTGCTGGGTACTTTGAGACTGCTGTGCTTCACTTCCAGTCTCTCGAGACATGTTGGCTTCAAAGAGAGTGTTAAAAAACCCTAATTACTATGGCAAAGTAAAACTGGCAAACGTTCACACTATACTATTAATATACAAGTCCACTTTCAGGCTAAAAGAAGTAAAACTTCCAACCATAGGGTTATACGCAAATCGCCAGAAATTTTGCAAACCAGGAAGGTTTTCCTTTTAAAAGACAACGTGGAGCGGCCTCTGCTGGTTCTAAAACAGAACTAACCCTTATTCCCAGATTGCTTCTGAGGACTTCAGCGCTCAGATTGGATGTTACARGCATGGGCTGTGCTCTAACAGAGCATGGAGCAAGAGACCACGGCTGGTTTCTCAATAAAAAGAGAGAAACTGAAAAGAGTAAGAACTGTAAAATGTCGTACACGTTCTTGAGAGTGCCCAACAGATCTATCAGATTTATCATACCTCTACACGATGAACGTACRAAACTCTGCCAGACTCGGACACCCACACAGCCAACCCTGGCAGCTGTTGGCACAGCCAGTGGCAACGAACAGCATCTCCCTGCCCAGTCACAGCCCAGAAATTCACAGCGTGTCTTGCCTCCCTCTCCACTTAACAAATGCTCCACCAGCGAGCCCATCCCTACAGTCAGCTTSCTTCAACACATCAGTGCTCACCTGGGCTCCAGGTACGCCCATGAGCCTTCCAACCTTACCACCTGTATACTGTGCTTTTAGCTGGTTACCATACCACGCACACACGCCATACAATGCATAATTCAGACTAATCTGAAACTCCTTATCGCTTTGCGACATTGCATTACAAGCCATAAAAACACAACAGGTCCCCAGTCACCTCCGGCGGGCAGTTTGTTCCAGGTGTTTACAAACACAGGCGTGGCCCACAGGCTCCGCCCGCAGCCCTCACGGCGGTGCAGCCTCAGCCGCCCRCAGAAAACGGAATCATGGAACCATTTGGGTTGGAAAACACAGAGGCCATCGAGTCCAAGCGCTTCCCCAGCACTGCCAATKCCACCAGCGACCTGTCCCCACGTTCCACAGCCAGATAGCTGTGAAACCCCTCTAGGGATGGTAACTCCACCGCTGTCCTGGGCAGCTCTTTCTACAGAAGAATTTTCCCTCATATGTTTCCCTCAGAATTTTCCCARCCTAAACCGGATGCTCAGGTGGCGGGGCCGGGCCGCCAGCGGCCGCCTCGCACCGGCACTCGCCCGGCCCGGCCCGGCCCGGCCCTGCCCGCAGAGCACCGACACCGCAACCAGCGGCCCCGCCGTCCCGACCGAGCACTGCTACCCCGTTCCCGGCGGAACCACGCGATCTTCCTGGAGGGGAGGCAGAGGGGAGCAGCCTGTGGCAGACCCGGGGCGGGAGAGGAGGGTAGGAGGGTCGGGAAAGGAGAAAGGCAGGGGAGAGGAAGGGAAGAGCAGCGGCGAGAGGTGCGGGACAGAGCGGCCGGAGCGGGACCCGAACTCACGGGGAGCCTGGCGGAGCTCGCGCCGTCGCGCCGGGGCCGCCGTGCGCGGTGCG